TTCAACTTTCCCTTTCAGGAAATTCATAAAATAACATACATAAACATAAAATATATAAAAATATAGAAATAATCTTTTAAATTATTTTAAATGAACAAACAAAACATTAGAAAAAAATTTGACCAAAAAACTCAACCAAACATAATGAACAACAGAGAAAAGAACAACAGTGCAAATAAACACACACACATTAATTAAAAAAAAAAACGTTTTCAGCTCAATCACAAACAATTACATGTTTCATCAGTGTTTGCAGGCCAGAAAATATTAAAGAAGAGAGCGGTCTAGATCCAGATAAACTATCAGCCTGCAGTGAATGAAGCTCATATCAGGACAACAACATGAAGACAAACAACCAGAGGAGCTGCAGCTGGATTCTGAGACATTTCGACTGGATCACATGAATGTCAGTGACGTGCAGCGCTGCTCACACGGATCACACAGCAAAGCCTTTTGACATAACGAAATAAATCAACGGCAAGGGCTAATTTATATCAAGCACATCAAGGTCAACTCAGCAGAGCCGTTTGGGTCCTACGGTTAACTACGGTTCACTGTTGCTCCGGTCAGAAGAGAGCAGGGAGCGGCGCGCAGACAGATGAAACTTTCAGTGAGTGAAAAACAACGGCATTCTCAAAAATTTGAAAAGTTGACGACTTAAATTTAAGGCCATAAAAACTCTTGTTACAAGATGGTACAAGAAAGTCTTAACCATGATTTCAGGAGGTCTTAAATTTGGGGATGGAAAGACAAAGAATTGCGGTATGCCTTAAAGGGATAGTTCACTCAAAATTGAAAATTAGCCCATGATTTACTCACCCTCAAGGCATCCTCGGTGTGTACGACTTCCTTCTTTCAGACGAATCCAATCGGAGTTACATTAAAAAAAAATATCCTGACTCTTCCAAGCTTTATAATGGGAGTGAATAGGTGTTATTTTTTTAATAGTCCAAAAGAAGTCCAATAAAGCACATCCATCCATCATAAAAAGTGCCTCACACGGCTCCGGGGGGTGAATAAAGGCCTCCTGAAGCGAATCGATGCGTTTTTGTTAGACAAATATCCATATTTAAAACTTTATAAACCATAATCTAGCTTCCGCTAACTGTCGTACGCGCGCGTTCATTCCAGCGGATGACGTAGGCGTAGCGTAAGATCCAGTGATAAGAGAGAGAGCAAAACAAAAAACTGGTCAAGAATTAGAAGTACAAAACGAAGAAAACGTCAGAGGATTTCGATATAAGCCAAGAGGAGACTGGTTTTCCTTTGCTAAAGTAAGGAAACTTTGCTTCCTTTGCTGCTGTAAACAAACGCCGTTTCTCGCGAGACTAGCATATTCTCACCGGAGCTTACGCTACGCCTACGTCATCCGCTGGAATGAACGCATGTACGACAGTTAGCGGAAGCTAGAGATTACGGTTTATAAAGTTTTAAATATGGATATGTTTCTTACACAAACGCATTGATTCGCAACAGGAGGCCTTTAGTCACCCCCCGGAGCCATGTGAGGCACTTTTTGATGGATGGATGCGCTTTATTGGACTTCTTTTGGACTATTGAAAAATAACACCCATTCACTGCCATTATAAAGCTTGGAAGAGCAAGGACATTTTTTAATATAACTCCGATTGGATTCGTCTGAAAGAAAGAAGTCATACACACCGAGGATGCCTTGAGGGTGAGTAAATCATGGGATAATTTTCATTTTTGGGTGAACTATCCCTTCAATGTGACGGTTAAACTTAAAAAGGCTGTGATTTCATTGAATAAGTATGAGCGCTGCATGTTTCAAAGCCAGCTGCTGCGCTGCTTTGTCTACCACAGTTACCGGGGAAACCGCTGTATTTCTGCCATTCCGAAAGCGCCACCTGCTGGCTGAGAATGAATTTGCATTTTTAGTAAACCCGTCTGCTGTTTTTGTTCAGACCACTGTGTCTGAACAACAAAATCAACCCATGTTTTTACGCAGCAAACACGTAGAGTTGTAAATGTGAACTGCTTGATCGACAAGAAGGTAATACATTATAAAAAATGAAACAATTAAGACAGGGAACCATACGTTCCATACGTAACCGAGACGTTTTCAGTGTTCAATATTCAACATTACCATTTGTAATTGGCCCAAGTCAGATGTGTTTTTGCTATGTATATGAATGCAACAAGATCCAGATAAAAATGCAATAGGGTGCCAGTGTAAATGCGGCTTTAAAGCTCCAGTTTTGTTAATTTTCTCCCTCTTCAACGCAACAGTTTCACTATTTGAAGCTTGAATTTAAAAACATTTCATGAGCATCGCGACATGTTTCTTAAAGCCGTTTCTATGCATTATGAACAGTGTTACGTTGCATTGGATGAGAAGGTGAACAGATGTAAATGTCTCACCGTCTCGTGCGCGGCTGGGGCTCGTCTCTCGGCTGCAGCCTTGACTGCGCGGGATCTTACTGCGTCTGTCTGCCGGCGCTCGAGCGGATCCGACGGATCGAGGGATTCTCCCGGAAGAACGAGTCAAGAGCTTCCCGGGTGAACTAGAGCGGCTGCCCGCTAGAACACAGACATTTATAATTTGGTGACTTGACTGAATGTCAGTGTTACTGTAAATACTGTATATGTCTAGAGTACATCAACAAAAGCGGATGGGAGAAGCACATGCATCGGACACAAAAACAGAGGCTGTGCGAGGCAGAAACCGTCCACTCGTACATTGATAAATGGAGAAAATATCACACTTAATACGGCAAGTTTCTGTTCAGTTTATCATTACATTATGAATTCATTTAAGAGATCCTTTACAAAATAGGGTTTGTTGTTACAGCCTGAACATGTGCTTTTTTGACCTTAGCTTCACAGTTTATGATGGCATTGTTATTCCTGATTTAAAATGTGTTTTTGAGACATATTTTCAACAGTTTCAGGGATTTTGGTCAGTTAAACTGAGCTGAATGTGCAAAGCTGGAAAATTTTAGTATTATTTATATTCACTTTTTTATATCTAACATTTAGAATTTTTTGTTTTATATTTTTAGCTTTCATTTAAATATTTGTAACATTTTTAGTAATTGTGTTTTGTGCTTTTATCTTTTTGATTAGTTTAAATTTTTCAATATATATTTCTAAATATTTTTTTTTTATTTTTAAAATGTTTCATTTTTATGTTATTTTTCCGTTTTAGCTTAGTTTTTAGTAATTGTGTTATGTGCTTTTGTCAAAGAAAAGGCTAAAGCTTACAACACCTGGTATTCCCAGGCGGTCTCCCATCCAAGTACTAACCAGACCTGACCCTGCTTAGTTTCCGAGATCTTATTGTTCAATTTTTTTTTTTTTTTTTTTAAACATTTCAAAACGGTTTTAATTTATTTTTAAATGTTTTAATTTTTACATTATTTTTTCAGTGTTGGCTTAATTTTTAGCAATTGTGTTATGTGCTTTTGTCCGTTTTTTTCGTTTTCTTTTTTGAATATTTCTAAATAGATTTAATTTATTTCTAAAATTTTAAATATTATTCAGTTGTAGCTTAATTTTTAGTAATTGTGTTACGAGCTTTTGCCTTTTTTTGTAAATGTTTGTTTTTTTATATATATCTTTTTTAAATATTTTTAATTTGTTTTATTATTAGTATTATTTTGTTTTACATTATTTTTATGTTTTGGCTTAATCTTTAGTAATTGTGTTATGTGCTTTTGTCATTTTTTTTTCATATATTTTTAAATAGTTTTAATTTATTTTTTACATTTTTTATTTTTACATTATTTTTCAGTTTTAGCTTAGTTTTTAGTAATTGTGTTATGTGCTTTTGTCATTTTTTTTTTTATATATTTTTAAATAGTTTTAATTTATTTTTTAAATTTTTTATTTTTACATTATTTTTCAGTTTTACCTTAGTTTTTAGTAATTGTGTTATGTGCTTTTGTCATTTTTGTTCAATTTTGTTTTTTAAAAAACATTTCAAAATAGTTTTAATTTATTCTTATTTCAGTTAGTAATTTTCGTATTATTAATACGTATAAATTAATAACTTATTAATTAATTATTTCAAACATTTTTATTAATTTTTTTAAATATTTAAATTTTATTTCAGTTTTATTTCAATTATTATTATTTTTTTTTTATAGTTTTAGTATAAGTGAACGATAACGAAACTGGCTGGAAATAACTAACCAAAGTCGTTAGCAAGAGTGACACCGAGTAAACCGATTCGCCTTAAAGGGACTTTTAACAGAGATAAATTATAAATAATTAGCAAAATCATACTAATAACACAGCGGGAATCAATCGCAGCAGTACAGTGGATCATGCTTTCATGACGGGACGCATGCAGACGTCAATCCGTGTTTTACTCCGTACCGTGAGTTTTACCCCCCACCGGATTAGCCGATCTGGATCCTTGACGCGGGACAGTGAAGAGAAACTACATTACCCATGAGTCCATGCATCAGCATGAACTACCGCTGATCTAAAGCATGCTGATGTTTACGAGGCGGCACAAGAAGACAGATGGAGTTCATATCTCTTCATTAAGAAGGACATCAACAGAAAACACACGAGAGCCACATTATACTGAAGTATAATGTAAATTACACTGCAGCCAATGATATTAAAGCATACTGTACATCTATTGACCAAGGTTTACCATTTGTTTAAAGGGACAGTTCACCCCAAAATGAAAACACTGCCATCATTTACTCACCTAAGCACAAACAATGAATGTTCGCAATTTTTTTTTTTTTTGTGAACTATCCCTTTAATTGTCTCTATAATATTCCTATCATTTCTCTGCCAGAGCAGGACAGCTGAACAGGATGATGTAACGGCAAACTCACGTTGTGATTGGGGCACAACTTTGGCTCGGCTCCGCCCCCTGCTGTCTGTCACAGAAGCTCCGCCCCCAGCTGCTGTCTCTGAACTCTGTCGTCTTGTTCGCACACGACCTGCAGGAAGACAGAGGAAAAAATACAGAACCGTAAAATTATGGATGAACACAAAAATCATTTCAGTAACTGCAAAATAAATTTATTTTAATATTTATTTAAGAAATATATATATTAATCTATTTTTTTACATATAAAAATAAAATATGAATATTTGATTAAACACTTAAACTACAAGAACATTTTGAAATAAGTTTAAGTTATTAGTATGAATATTAATAACTGAAATAAAACAAATTGAAATATAAATTTAAAAATATTTGTAAAAACTAACAAAAATGACAATAGCGCATAAAATGACTCAAATTTCAACTGAAATCAAAATGAAAACTGAATAATTTAAACAAAGCTGACATAAAATAAAATATATAGCAAATAAGAGCAGAGGTACAACAGAAGACAACAGCATCAGCGCGTGTTAGAGCAAACCGTCTGGGATCATGCAGGAGTGTGTTATTCATCAAAACACCCTCATATGAACATGATATTTTTTATGTCAAAATTGTGTTTCAAAAAAACTGTGTGTATGCCGCATTATGTTTAGTGACTTTACAGAAAGTGTGCTAGTTCAGGAAATAAACTGAGTCAAAATGTTTAATTTGGTCATTTGTAAACTTAAATAATGTGTTATTCTATCATGAGATAATAGAATATCATGTTTTTTTTTAATAAATAAATAAATAAAAAATAAAATAATTTTGAATAGAGATAGTGTATGTGCTAACTGAACTGTGATTAGTCCTGTACTTTTTGCATATATTTAACAATTTATAGATGCA